AAGATGTACACTTCCAAATACTTTCAAGCCTGGCCTGCACAAACAGGCCTTAGGTCATTTTCAGACAGCCTGTTCTTTTTGAGCATTCATCCTGATTTTGTTTGTAAGCAATGCCCACTGTTTATAGATCATACATTCCAATCTGTTCGACATGATCAGGAACATGATCAATGGTGCAAGAAAATACTTAATAAACAGGTCGCTCCTGGGAGATGCCTCTTTTCCCTAGAAATTAAGCCGAGGTATAAATAGCTTTCCTGCATATGGGGATGAAGAATGTTCTGTGTTCCATATCACCTCTTGTGCCCAACTAAGGAAACGGGGGTCTGGGCTTCTATGTTTTCTTGGTTTTGCCTGCCAGTGCCATACTGTATTTGTTGTTGCGCATTTCCTGCCTCTTTGCTATCTGTACTTTGCGTAGGTCAAAACACTTTCCTCCTTTAGATTTTTCATATGAAAAGGCATGCAGTGTTATGCCAGTGCTAAGGGGCTATGCCCTTACTCATTCCTCTTTTACTAGTTGCTGCATCATGTGCTTCCCAGGATATCAAGGTTGGTGTGTTGTGTTTGGGTGTTGCTATGGCAACACAGGCCTGTGGGACCAAAGAGTCCTAGTAGTGTTCTTGCTGTTTGCTTTCCCTGTGGAGACAGTGTGTTATTCTGTTGTAGGGTTTATTCTAATTCTGTATTTTCTTCTCCAGTGAAATAGGCTGCCCCCTCCCCCCTACCCCACTCTGTGAATGACATAGCAGTATATTAGGCTGCATTCAGACATGGTATTTAAAGCATTAGCTTTAGGGATTCTTGTGGCAGTGCTTCTTGTTAAGTTGTGGGTGAACATATCAGACGACACAGCGATACTTCAAACAGCTCTTCTTTATTCAGAGGCCACAACAGAACTGAACTGAAGAGCTCAGTCAGCCTGCTTATATAGAGCTCCAGAACAATGTAACTGTAGCAACTTTCTAAAACTATCCAATCACTGAACGTCACTTTCAATCCTTCATTTGCATACAAACTATCCAATCATTGAACGTCACTTTCAATCCTTCATTTGCATAACTATCTACAGTATCCCCCTGCTGGCCCAGGGTGAGAACTTCAGTACATAACACTTCTGTCCAGATTTCTAATGTTCCTATCGCACTGTCCCATCCACTCAACATTTGTTATGGGGGGGACGGGACCAGATGCCTGTGAGAAGCCTGCAAGCAGGACATGGGTGCAACAGTGCTCTCCTCACTAGTAATTATCAGCAACTGGTATTCAGAGACACACTGTCTCCTGTGGTGGAGATAGAATTGTGTAGATGTTTGGTGTGCTGCTCCAAATAAAAATAAAAATGGTGGCCATCCAATGAACAGTTTTAGAGACTCCCAAGCTCTCAGCCAGTAGGATATTTTGTCTTTTTCCCTTTGAAACCCAGACCCCGCCCCTCACAAGCTGTATTACAAATATACAAATTCCCTTCAGTTGTAAAAGAGGGTTGCCATTCAGCATAAGCCCTTTTCAAGTGTGATTAAGATGTAATTGTGTTTGATGTGCAGAACAGTGTGTGATGGCCTTGCCCACTTTGTCTGTGGCCTTGCTGTTTTCAGCAGCATTGTCTCCACCATCGGGAAGCTTCTTGTGAAGAGGCTTTCAAGGCCTCCTGAGATCTTGCTGTGGAATGCATTGATGTGAGGGATGGAGGTAGCCCTGAGAGTCAAGGATTCAGAGGGCTCCTCTGCCACAAACCCCTTGGGCGCAGAAAATTGGTCTTGTGTAGAGGTGCCAACTTGAGCAGAAGATTGAGGGGGCCGATGACACATGCCATGATGTGCGCATGACGACAGGAGGAGCCAGGGGTGGTGCTAAATGTGGTGACAGTGTGACTTCAATGGCTGGTGGCTCCTCTTCTCTGGCATTCGGCCACCTCCTCCTCCTCTCGCCTCCACCGGCTGGGGACTGCTTCCACCCTCATTCCCCTCTGCAGCATGAGGAGGAGGAGCTGCCAGTCATTGTGAAGTCATACTGCATTTGGCCTCTTCCTCCTCCTGCTGCTGTCACTGGCCAAGAGCTGCTTCCCCCCTCCTTCCCCTCAGCTCCACTCTCAGCCTCCTCCACAACAGATTGTTCTCAACATTGGAGGAGAACAAAGGGACCTGGGCCCCTTATGTTGTTGTTGTTTAGTTGTTTAGTCGTTTAGTCGTGTCCGACTCTTCGTGACCCCATGGACCAGAGCACGCCAGGCACTCCTGTCTTTCACTGCCTCCCGCAGTTTGGTCAGACTCATGTTTGTAGCTTCGAGAACACTGTCCAACCATCTCGTCCTCTGTCGTCCCCTCTCCTTGTGCCCTCAATCTTTCCCAACATCAGTGTGCTGGTCCAGGGGGGAGGTTACCGTGGGGCGAGGTCCAGGACCTGAGTTGAGGGTCGGCAGACAGTCCTCCTCGGGCGAAGCGGGGTCCACAGCGAGAAGCCGGGCAAGGACAGGAACTCTGGGGGAACAGGACTGGATGCTGGCCGAAACAGCTCTTCAACGACGTTGCTCCCACAACCTGGGACCGGGCTGACTGGCCTTTATCTTCTCTGAGGCCAGGGGCCCCCAGGAGACCCGCCTCTCCTGGCGAGCACTCCTCCTGGGAGAAACCAGTTCCCTTCGCCTCTTTGCCCTGAGCTTCTGCAGTTCAGGAGAGGCTGAAGGGTTACTGGACCCAGGGGGAGACTCACCTGTAGGCACTGAGTCGTCAACCACCTCCAGAGCCAGAGTGGATTCACCTGGTGCCTGCTCCTGAGGATCCGGCACAGGTGCAGGCGCTTCAGAATCAAGGCCCTGCCCCAGTTCAGCCGGCCCTGGAGGCGGGGACTCCTGTGCAGGCTGGGATTCCTCCGGTTCAGCCTCTGAATCGGATTCCCAGGCCATCACACCCAGGGTCTTTTCTAGGGAGTCTTCTCTTCTCATGAGGTGGCCAAAGTATTGGAGCCTCAGCTTCACAATCTGTCCTTCCAGTGAGCACTCAGGGCTGATTTCCTTAAGAATGGATACGTTTGATCTTCTTGCAGTCCATGGGACTCTCAAAAGTCTCCTCCAGCACCATAATTCAAAAGCATCAATTCTTCGGCGATCAGCCTTATACTTGGTGCCTATGGCAGGGGTCAGCAAACATTTTCAGCAGGGGGCCGGTCCACTGTCCCTCAGACCTTGTGGGGGGGCAGACTATATTGGGGGAGGGGGAATGAACGAATTCCTATGCACCACAAATAACCCAGATATGCATTTTTTAAAAAATATTTTTATTCATTTTACAATACAAAAATATAAAAACACATAACAAAGTTTTTCACAAATACATTTTTTGGACTTCCCTCAGCAAATCCTCCGTTTTAATCCTTCTTCCGCATTTCTTAATATTGCCTTTTATTAAAAACCTCCTCCCTCTTATTCCCTTTTTTACAATATTTCTAATATTTTTTTCACAGAGCCTCTTGCAAACCTACAAACGTTATTTGTTCATCGCATATACTTTTCAAATAGTCTACAAATTTACTCCAGTCTTCAGTGAATCTGTGGTCTCGTAGGCCTCGGATCCTTCCTGTTAATTTATCAAGTTCTGCGTATTCCATTAACTTCATTCTCCATTCTTCCATCGACGGTAGTTCTTCTTGTTTCCATTTTTGGGCTAGAAGTATTCTTGCCGCTGTAACTGCGTATAAAAAAAGCTTATAATCTTTTCTGTTTATTTCATTTCCTACCATTCCTAACAAAAATGCCTCTGGTTTCTTGACAAATGTATATTTCAACTTTTTTTTTAATTCATTATATATCATTTCCCAGAAGCCTTTCACCTTCTTACATTCCCACCACATATGATAAAAAGTCCCTTCTTTTTCTTTACATTTCCAACATTTATTACACATTTTGTACATTCTTGCTAACTTCACTGGTGTTATATACCATCTATATACCATTTTCATAACATTTTCTTTTAACGCAATACAGGCCATGAATTTTAACCTTTCATTCCATAGTTTTATCTATCCACATAACTGTATATTATATCCAAAATCTCTAGCCAAATGGATCATAACCGATTTAATTTCTTCATCTTTGGTATACCATTCCAGCAGCAATTTATACATCTTAGATAGAATTTTAAAGTCATTATTCAATATCTCTATTTGAAATTTCGATTCTTTTTCAACATAACCTTTCTCTTTTAGTTCTTTTTTAGACATTTCGTTAACCTGATAGTAATGCAACCAATCATTAACATATTCTTTAACTTCCTCATAGGGTTTCAATTTTCATTTACCTCCTTCTTTAACAATCAGATTCCCATGTTACCCAATTCCCCCTCATTGATCTTCTTTACACTAATCACCTCTAATGGAGACAACCAGTGTGGTATCCTTGGTTCTAGTAGGTTTTTATACCTATCCCAAACTTCTATAAGAGATCTTCTGAAGATGTGGTTTTCAAAACCTTTATGAATTTTTTTCTTATCACACCATAAATATGCGTGCCAACCAAATCTGTTAGCAAATCCTTCCAAGTCTAACAATTCTCCATTTTCTAATCTCATCCACTCCTTCAACCAACAGATTTTGTCAAAGATGTATAACTTGCTGTTGAAATGGAATACTCAGGATGAAACGGTGAAATCTGCTATGATTAAATGGGCACAAGATGTTGGACATAACATAATGATGGCTGACTGGGAACAGTTATGGACCACAGATATGAAGTTTACGGCATGTAATGCCTTAAGAGAGAATATTATGAAAATGATATACAGGTGGTACATGACACCAGTCAAGCTTGCAAAAATCTATCATTTGCCCGATAACAAATGTTGGAAATGTAAAGAAACTGAAGGTACATTCTTTCACCTTTGGTGGACGTGCCCAAGGATTAAGGCTTTCTGGGAGATGATTTATAATGAAATGAAAAAGGTATTTAAATATACCTTCTTGAAGGCCGTCGCCTCCGCCGCCGCCTCCTCCTGCCGCCCCCAGCCATGGCTGACGTGGAGGACGGGGACGAGCCAGGTGTCTCGGCTCCTCACGCGGGTTTCTCGGGCTCGAAGTCGGGTGGCGTCGACAAGATGTTCTCGCTGAAGAAGTGGAACGCCGTGGCCATGTGGAGCTGGGACGTGGAGTGCGACACCTGCGCCATCTGCCGGGTGCAGGTCATGGATGCCTGCCTTAGATGTCAAGCTGAAAACAAACAAGAAGATTGTGTTGTGGTCTGGGGAGAGTGTAATCATTCCTTCCACAACTGCTGCATGTCACTGTGGGTGAAACAGAACAACCGCTGCCCCCTCTGCCAACAGGACTGGGTGGTTCAGAGAATAGGCAAATAAAAGCACTGGCAGTTCTTCTTCGGATTTCTTTGGAATGATGTGCAACCAAAGACATATTCCCCCATGAACAAGGGGAGCATTCATGTCATGGGAGAGTCCATTTTATTTATTTAGGTCTAGGTTGATGCAGGTTTATGGAGTTGGATTTGAAATCTTTGTGTTGGTCTGTGGGATCAGCGTGGTTTCATCAAAAACGTTAGATACACAGCGTTGAAGAATGTATCTAAACGTTTAGTGTGAACTCTGTACATTTGTTTAGGAATGCTTTGGAACTTATGAGGCCCACAGTTATCTATGTTCAAAGCAGTTCCAGCTAGAAATGCCACTTATTTTTGTCTGAACTGAGGAATTCAACTGAAATAAATAGTTGTTGGTGATGCAAAAAAAAAATATATATACCTTCTTGAAGAAACCAGAGGCCTTCCTCCTGGGCATAGTCAGCCAATTGGTGCCAAAGAAGGACAGAACTTTCTTTATGTATGCTACAACAGCAGCAAGAATACTTATTGCAAAATATTGGAAGACACAAGATCTACCCACTCTGGAAGAATGGCAGATGAAGGTGATAGACTATATGGAACTGGCGGAAATGACTGGCAGAATCCGAGACAAGAGTCGGTGGAAGAAGATTGGAAGAAATTTAAAGACTATTTACAGAAATACTGCAAAATTAATGAATGTTAGAATGATGTCAGAATGAAGTTAAGTGGTTTTAGCAGTAATGTTATAAAGGTGTATGTAAAAATGGATTGTTAATAGGTGAGAATCTAAAGCTATAATGTATTAAATTAAAGGATTAAGACAAAAACAAAGAGGGAAAGGAATTGCTGAATTAACCAATTGAACTGGAATACAAAAAAGGGAGGTCAGGGAAACAAGGAAATGAAATGTAAGGTACGGAAAGATTGATTTGTTTTTAAGTGTTTTTTTATCTTTTCTCTGTATTTTATATTTTGTATTTTTTCTCTTTTTTATTTTTTATTTTGTTTCTTTTCTTTTTATCTATGTAATCTTCTGTTTTTGAAACTTTAATAAATATTATCTTAAAAAAAATAGATACACTAATCACCTCTAATGGAGACAACCAGTGTGGTATCCTTGGTTCTAGTAGGTTTTTATACCTATCCCAAACTTCTATAAGAGATCTTCTGAAGATGTGGTTTTCAAAACCTTTATGAATTTTTTTCTTATCACACCATAAATATGCGTGCCAACCAAATCTGTTAGCAAATCCTTCCAAGTCTAACAATTCTCCATTTTCTAATCTCATCCAATCCTTCAACCAACAGAGGCATGATGCTTCATAATACAATTTCAGGTCTGGCAGGGCGAAGAACCCAGAGATGCATTTTAAATAAAAACACACATTCTACTCATGTAAAAAACATGCTGATTCCTGGACAGTCCGCTGGCCGAATTTAGTAGGCGATTGGGCTGGATCAGGCCCCTGGGCCTTAGTTTGCCTACCCATGGCCAACGGAGGACTACTTCAGGTTGACAGTAAATGAGGTGGTAAACCTGTGCTTGAACTGCACCGCTTTGCAATGCAAATGGGGGCTCTCATGATAGAATTCCCCTCCCTCCGAAAAAGAAGAAAAGACAAATTGTTTTTGCTCATAGAATGCTAGTTGTCATGGTTAAAGGTCCTATCCTACTTCTGTTCTTCCTCATGAGTATCCTGACATGGGCACCCATACCTGCTGTGGTATAGTCCAGAGAGGTTACCCATAACTACTCATTGCTGCTTGTCAGAAGTAGGCTGTCATACGTACATGCTTGGGAGTTACAGCTGCCATATGTACATTCTTAGGCTTTTTAAAGTATATTGAAATATACTTGGAGTCGAGTGTGGATTTCATGCTTTTTATTCAGCTCATGGTAGTGAGGAATAAAAGTTCCCCCCAAATATCTGCTTTATATACATTTTTTACACAATGGGTCGCACATGATTGGCTACCGTAATTCAGGGATTCTCCTGTAGGCCAATCAGGTTGCGGATTCACTTCCACCTGAAGCTGGATTGGGTGGCTCCTGCCGACCAATCATACTGCTGCATTTTTCTAGGACCAATCAGACTGCTGCATTTTGGATCCTATTCAACTCAGTACATAACATATATTTATTCACCGTGAGACATTCTCTGTTTTGTGCAATAATATTATATAGAATGTGCTCCATTTCTGTTACTGAGAATCACATACAGTGGTACCTCGGGTTAAGAACTTAATCCGTTCCGGAGGTCCGTTCTTAAGCTGAAAATGTTCTTATCCTAATGGGGCCTCCCGCTGCCGCTGCGCCGCTGGAACACGATTTCTGTTCTCATCCTGAAGCAAAGTTCTTAACCTGAGGTACTATTTCTGGGTTAGCGGAGTCTGTAACCTGAAGCGTCTGTCACCTGAAGTGTATGTAACCCGAGGTACCACTGTACTAACAATTTCCAGAGGGGTGTTGCTCTGCTATTGGTCTTAAGGTGACCAGCCTTTAAGAAAGGAGTTTCAAAGAAAGGCTCCAGCATAAAACTGCATTAAGAAGTTCAACTTTATTCATTTGTGTCTGAACAGAGGCAATGCTTTTCTTTGCAACTACAGGTGTTAATTTACAGTATTCAGTATTACAAAGTTGATTGTTTTATGTCTTATCACTGCTGTTGCAAGGTGTCACTGTGCTTATCTTGCATATATTCTAGCTCTGGTTGAATTGTCACTATCTGGAGTTTTCGTATTTTATGTGCCTCTGGCCTGACTGCTTACAATCCTCTCCCCTTATCACCATGTATACAAGTGAGAATTATACTTCATACTTCAGATGAAGTGAATTCTAGTACGTGGAAGTTTATGCCATAATAAATTTTGTTAGTCTGTATAGTGCCACAAGACTCTTAGTCAGCACCCTTAACTCATTCACACTGATCCTGAGAGAGTCTGATTATACTGTTGAATGGTTTCTTTAAATGTAAAGGTTCATCACTGTTCCACCCGATGTGTATGTCTTTAAGGGGCCAGAGCAAGGGCCAGAGCAAGATAACGAGACCCAGCTTTACAGCTGTGAAACATAGCAGGTGCTGCTGAGTTGTATTGATTAAGCTGTGTTGGCAATTGGGTGTAGTATATAAGGAGCAGCACCTAGCTCTCCCATTACCCTGGGGGATGGGTTGGTGGTTGGGTCTGGTTTGTTGTTGATGTATTTGGTGTATAAGGAGTTTTTGTTTTTGAAATTAAAACCTTGTTTAAGTTATTTTTGAGTCACTTTTTAATGCATGGTCTCCCCAGCAAGCTCTCTGCAGCGCTACTATACTGAAAATAGCCAACACTTTTGAAATATATGATATATTATCTTCAGTACTGTGACTCAAGTTCGCTTTAACATCTCACAGCTATACTTGACCTTCTTTTGATAATCTGTGTTTTGGTGCTGCTGAGTCCTGTATGGCTAGCATGTTTATTAGTAGAATCCTAGGAGATTTCCCAAGTTGCTGCAGAGACTTTGTGCCTTGTCATAATAACAACAACAACAACAACAACAACAACAACAGTACCGAATCGGTGGCACATCCCCTTCTGGCTTGTCCTCTTTATAAAGACTCAAGGAATGAGATTATCACCCCTCTTTTATTGTCCATTCCGGGTCGCCCAACCACTGCCACAGTGTCCTTTCTCTTGACAGATCAATAAGAGTAGGTGACAGCAAAGGTTGCAAGGTTTTTAGCTGGGGCAATCAGAATAAGATCCACTATTTGACTACTGATTCAAAACCCTAAAATGTATTTTATATAATTCACTTTTTATTTCTATTCTTTGTATATTGTATAGTTGTTTTATTGCTATGGCCAATGGCTGATGCAAATACAGATGCATTAATAATAATAATAATAATAATAATAATAATACTATTTATACACCGCCCAACTGGCTGGATTTCTCTAGCTTCAAACAAAATGTTAAAAATACATTAAATGTTAAAATACATTAACACATCAGTCATTAAAAACTTCCCTAAACAGATGCCTCTAGATGTCTTCTAAAAGTCAGATAGTTGTTTGTTTCCTTGACATCTGATGGGAGGGCGTTCCACAGGGTGGGCGCCACTACCGAGAAGGCCCTCTGCCTGGTTCCCTGTAACTTTGCTTCTTGCAGTGAGGGAACCACCAGAAGGCCCTCGGCGTTGGACCTCAGTGTTTGGGCTGAACGATGGGGGTGGAGACGCTCCTTCAGGTGTACTGGGCTGAGGCCCTTTAGGGCTTTAAAGGTCAGCACCAACACTATGAATTGTGCTTAGAAACGTATTGGGAGCCAATGTGGGTCTTTCAAGACCAGTGTTATGTGGTCTTGGCAGCCGCTCCCAGTCACCAATCTAGCTGCCGCATTCTGGATTAGCTGTAGTTTCCGGGTCACCTTCAAAGGTAGCCCCACGCAGAGCACATTGCAGTAGTCCAAGCAGGAGATAACCAGAGCATGCACCACTCTTGCGAGACAGTCCACAGGCAGGTAGGGTCTCAGCCTGCGTACCAGATGGAGCTGGTAGACAGCTGCCCTGGACACAGAATTGACCTGCGCCTCCATGGACAGCTGTGAGTCCAAAATGACTCCCAGGCTGCACACCTGTTCCTTCAGGGGCACAGTTACCCCATTCAGGACCAGGGAATCCTCCACACCTGCCCACCCCCTGTTCCCCAAAAAAAGTACTTCTGTCTTGTCAGGATTCAACCTCAATCTGTTAGCCGCCATCCATCCTCCAACCGCCTCCAGACACTCACGCAGGACCTTCACCGCCTTCACTGGTTCTGATTTAAAAGAGAGGTAGAGCTGGGTATCATCCGCATACTGATGAACACCCAGCCCAAACCCCCTGATGATCTCTCCCAGCGGCTTCATGTAGATGTTGAAAAGCATGGGGGAGAGGACGGAACCCTGAGGTACCCCACAAGTGAGAGCCCAGGGGTCCGAACACTCATCCCCCCATACCACTTTCTGGACACGGCCCAGGAGGAAGGAGCGGAACCA